TCATCTTACATGCTCTGGAGATAACACGATATTTCAACTACTTGTCTTGATTTCCTGCTTAGAAATGTAATAGAAAATGTTGCTTTAAGAATGAGGATTAAGCTGATTCATTTAGAAGGCTACTTTTGAATGTCTGTTCATTCAAATGCTGGTATTTCAATGAGTCATAAAAATCTGTTCTGAAAAGTGCCTGCTTCATTCCACTGTCCATCCAGTGAATGTAAATAACCAGTTATATACAATTGCTCAGTCCACGTTTGATTAGGTGAATCCTACCCACTCTGGGTGCAGTAACAGTTCAAGCTGGAAGAGAACTTATAAATAACATTTTTCACCAAGGGAAGTGTCTTCAGCTAGTAGGAAAAAAAAGGTCTTAATTGTAGTGCAGACCAGATTTTCATTAAGCTCCACCCTGATAGCTCAGGGCAAATTTCAGTGCATGGCACACCCATTGACAGTGCAGTGTAAAGTGTTATGACACATTCCATCATCAGAGGTGTTCTGGGAGAGCTTTATAGCTTCTGCTCATTTTCAGTACTTTCCAGCAAACACAAATTCTTCAGGCTGACATCCAAGCAAGGAATGTGCCCTCCTACCACCACAATGATCTTCCACCCACTTATTTTTAGTATTCACTTTAATTCTTGTCCACTCACTGTGAGTGATAAAACAGACTGTTGCTGCCTTCCTACTTCCATGAACTGCTGAATCACAGTTTCTGCTAGGACCTCATCCAAAGTCTATTGAGATTGATTAAAAGATTTATCCATCCCCTAAATGAGCTCTGCTGTAGGCCTTGAGTTCAGTGATGCATAAGGCAACTGGCTAAACTTTTGAAGAGAGAATATTATGCTGGAAGAGGCTGTAGTGGTCTTCTGATTCAAATATCCACATAACTTTCCACATAATCTGAATTTCTTCAGATTTCCCCAAATTTGCCTCATTTCATGGAAACATATTGTTGTACCTTAGTCTGGAATGCCTGCTGAATCCAGTTGAATATCAGATCATCCAAGTTCACTGTCTAATGCTAAAAGCAGACACAGGGCATTGACCATTCTAGTACTCACTGCTGTAATTTTTGAGGAGATTTTCCCCAACATTTTAAGCATTGCAGTGCTTAGGTTTTTATATTTACCACAACAGCAGTTTTTACGTACGACATTAGAGAAAAGCAGACTTGCTGTGCATGTGTTTCCAGCCAATCTTCATACAATTACTAGAGCTTGCTAGGTGCTGAGGTCCTTTTAATTGATCAAGGCAGAAGTTGCTTGCTGGACCCATTAAGAAACCATTCTGGTTTTTTGTATTTACTTAAACACATTTTTTATTTTGAATATACTTAGGCTGCAACTCAGAGGTGTGATTTCTGCTGGTACTGGTACATATATTTGGGCTAGACTTAAACTGAGTTGTATAGAAACAGGTAACAGTATATCTGTTAGCACAGCCAGTGCTGTAGATAAGTTTTGCAGCCTTTACTGGCTCTGCCTGTCAGACACCATGAAGAATTAGCACAATAAGGTTCCTGGGTAGCAGTGAAGGTGGTAAAAGTGGAATTTTCATAATGATGACATTTCACAAATGGGTGTACAACTCGGGTCTGGTAATGCTTGTTTAACTCCAAAATGTGAACATTGAACAGAGAGGGAACTAGTTTCTCTGGCTGGCATGCAGAACACAAGAGCAACCTGTTTTACCTGCCAAATTGTGTCTCCACTGTATCCACTTGACTGGTTGGAGTAGTTGATTATTATTAAATCCTTTCATGCTAGGTTATATTTCTTCATATTCATTCCTAATGTGCAGAATGTTCAAAACCAAATTTCCCTTGCATGGTGATCTTTGTACACAAATTAGTCTTTCAGGTGTTTGTTAGAAACAGGCATAACACACTTAGGCCTGAGACCGGACAAATGGTTGTTTCTATAGCCTTGAATCTGTAGACCAACTAAGGCCTTTTGTTTAGTTAAAACACAGATGTTTTAGCAGTTAATTGGAACTAATGTGATCTGTTCCTTCTGCTTGTTCTGGATGGGCAGGAATTTTTTAGCTGAGAATGTTGTGTATTCTATAACAGAAGCAGAAGTTTTTTTATAACTAAGTGCCCCTAAGTTTAAATTTCACCAGTTTAACACAAACTGAAGAACTGCTTGTTTTTGTTTGAGTTACCAGTCTGACCTAAATCAAACAGTGACACACAACTGCATAATAAAATCCTAAGACAACTGTCAGTGGAAATGAGTAAATCACCAGAGTGCTGGGGAATGTAACAGTACTACAAAGGGTAGGGTTGTGTGATCAGTTTTGTTTACCTGAAACCCAAGTCAAATCCAACAGAACAAATAGCTTTGCACTTAATGGGTAAGTAAGCATGAATGGGATACCAGTTTAGCTCAGTTCTCTCTCACTGTGCTAATTTTCCAGTTACTCATAACTCATTTTTGTTCTTTGTGTGCAGAGAAATGTGCAGAGCAGGCTTGAGATATATGGTATATTTATAGGCAGTCACTGGCTATAGGGCTGAAAGTTGTCTCAATTTCTTATCTGCTCATGCCTCATAGTTTCTTATGTTACTACGCTGATGCCCACTTCTGGGGCTGTGCTGCAAGCAGAGCCACTGGCATGAGCGGCAATAGTTGTAAAACTCTCTCCAGAAAGCACTGTATAGCATGGGCTGCAGAATAGGGTTTGGAGGGCTGTGGATTGCAGAGCTGGGAGGTGCTGAATGGACGATGGGAAAGGGAGACATCACACAGTAAAACTGCTCCCTGTTCTGGTACAGTGGTTAGTGTTTTGGCACCAAAAAGACCACATTAGATAAAAGAATGTAGGATTTGAAGCGGTGTTTCAGGGAAACCAGAGCATATATTACAATGAAAATTAGCAGCTGCAGAGCACTTTTGAAAATCAAGACCTTGTTTAGATACTGATAAGACACGAGTCTTGAAATTTTGCCTGAATGGGCATATTTTCATTCATAAACATAAACGTGCTGACTGGAAACTTACTGAATCCTTACATACCACACTTGATTTAACCATGAAAATCTTCGACATGTTACCTACAGTGTAGTATATCCTGTTTGGAAATGAAAGGATGAAAACATCTCTGAGTGCATGGATACATGTGTAAGAAATGGAGCTTGTATGTTGTTATAGAATGGAATGTAACCATTTCTGCTCCTCCATTTCTTATCTGTTCCAAATCTATTCAGGACAATCCCTAATATGACAATCCATTTATTCTCTTACTTTCTGCTGCAGTATTCCTTTATTGGCATTTTTGTAGAAGAGGATATCAAATACATATACCAAAGTATCTTAAATTAGCAAGCCCCTAGGAGCAAAAAGGGAAGATGGGAGTCAACAATACTGTTGCACAACTGGGCAAAATCTGTGACATTTACAAGCATTTTCACTAATGAACTTTTGGGCTACATTCGCACTAATGAATTAAACAGTGCCAGCAAATGTTCTTGGGACTGCAAATTGATGGTCTCTACCCTCAAGCTGACCTTGGCATGGTTTTGCCCTGGCTGTGGTGTTTTCTTGAACAATTTCTGGTGCAGTTTGGGAACTAGCATGGACCATATCTCATAGGAAGTTGGGATGTTACCACCTTGTTTTAGAGACTGAGAGAGCTGATTAGTATTGATAGATAAGGTGGAGTGCCAGTTTGGCTCAGTGCCATGGAATGGAGACATTTGTACTATGTGTTGCTTTGCCATCTGAGGCTGGGGTTCTTGGGATGCAGTGCTACTTGTAAGCACTTTTTCTTAATCTCCAAGAAAAGGAGTGGCAGTTCACAGCAGACTGCTCACCTTCCCTGGCTGTTTCTCACATGTAATAAGGAGTTACTAAAACCAACAGCAAACATCTCCTGAGCTTTGCCTTATCAAGCACCTTTTGCAGTGAGGAGCTGCCATGACTGACTTTGCAAGCATGAGTTGTTTTTTGTGCTATCGCCCCTTTCCTAGTCTACAGAGGTGACACCCTCTCTTCTGTCACCACAAAGACTGATGCTCCAAAAGGATCAGCTGAATATGAAAACCTAGAAAAGCAAACGTAAAAGATGTTAGAAGACTGCATGACTGCCTGGCATACAATTAAAGCACAGTGTTTATGCACGTTACTGCTCATATCTGATTTTCATAAGAACATAGTGTGATGCTTCTGTTTAGGACTATAGCTGACTGCATTTGGCTGTGTACCACAATGCAGAGGATGCCACTCTAGCGCTTCTGAAGAGGCACACATCGAGAATTGAGTATAATTTCTAAATGTGTTAGACTTGTCCTGCAATGAAAGAATTTGCACAAATCAAACATTAGATGTGTCTAGTCTGCACAGTTAAAATTAACCTGCTAAAGGAACAGAAAATGTTCTGTTACCCAAGCTGCCTTTTCAACTCTGAAGGTAGGTTAAGATTTATAAGTAGGTACGACCTTATTTTGCAAATATGGGGCACAGAGGACGTCCAGCCAGAGCTGCATTCCCAATCTGGTCACATTTAAGTAGCTACGAGGCTCCTTGAATTTTTGCCAGCATCCTTCTCCCTGTTCATCCTTCTCCCAGAACCGCTCCCGACTCGCCTCCGAGCCCGATCCTCAGGCCAGCGCGCCTCTGCGGGCTCTCCGGATCTGTCCGAGTCGGTAACTGAGCACACAACGGGAGAGCTGCTCTCTGCTCAGAGCTGTAGGCAGAAAACATTGCTCTCGATGCTGCTTTTGTACGATGTTGGGTTCTGAGAATCCCACCCGTTTCCCAGCTGCATCAGCCGCAGGATGTGGGAGCGATGGCTGAGGGCAGGTGAGACACCCGTGTGTATCCCTGTGCGGACAGATGTGTGTTGCCGCCGGGCCGCCCACCCCGGGCCGGCCCCGGGCACGCCCCGCGGCTCCTGCCTGCGGCGGAGCGTGCCTGGCGCTGGGGCAGCGGCCGCCTCTCTCTTCCCTTCCCTTCCCTTCCCCGCCCGCCAAGGCGCCTCCCGCCCGGCCACAGCCCCGGCCCCGGCCCTGCGCACAGCGGCGGACTCACCGGGCAGCGCGCACGGGGAGCCATGGCGCGGTCCCGCGGCGATGTCCTCTTCTTCCTCCTCCTCCTCTTCCTCTGCAGCTCCGCGGCGGCCGGGTACGTGGGGCTGGGGCGGGCGAGGGCACGGGGCACCTCTTCTTCCTTCCCTCCCGCCCGGCACGGGGGCTGCGCGGGCAGCGCTTCCCGGGGCTCCCTGGCGCCCGCCTGGCAGCCGGTCCCGGGAGCGGGCAGAGCGGCGCTGCCCGCGCCCCGTCCTGCGCACCCGGGGGTGAGCATCACCTCCAGCCTCCGCAGCGGAGAGCGGCAGAAGAGCTTGGCAACGTGTGTCGTATGTCTTTATGTGTTCGCCGTTACTTTTTGTGAGAGTGTGTTTCACTCCCTGCCCTTTCTCCCTCTGCCCGTTTGGGTTTTCCAGACCTACGTTCCTTGTGGCAGCTCCTTGGAACATCAGGCCTGGAGCAAACTTGACTGTTGGGGTAGCTCTGCTGCCGGATAGCCCAGCACGGGTCACCGTAAAGGGAGAGGTGATCAGAGATAACGAGACCATCTTGAGCAGGGAAGTGGTCTTTGAGAAAGGTAAGCAAAAGAATGGACTTGATTTGGGAGTATTTCTGTCTGCCTTCTCACAGAAATATTTTGTTCCTCCCAAAATATCCCAGCTTCTAAATGGTACTAAAATAGGGAATATATTTTACCGAGTAGGAGTCGCTATGGGAAAATAGTCTTGTACACTGCTGGCTCTGTTTAGGGTTGGGCATCTGAGGTGGATATGAGTGATTGCATGGGTGTGCTAACTGTCTGTAAACTCTGAAAATAATCAAATAGTAAAGTGTGATGGATGTGGGATTTCTGAGGAACCAGGAAGTACTCTGGTCATGTAGTGGTGCCACTGTAGAAATAGTAGAAAAGTTGCTTACTGATAGCTTGTTAAGGTGCAAAGTGGAAGCGTGTGGGAGAATGGAAGGGGTGGAACAAACAAGGTAATGAAGCTGCTTCTTCATGCTTCTTCATGAAAGTAATGACCTGAGCACCATAGGAAAGTGAAGATGACTGTGTCAGACACTTGGAAGCTCTGTGCATTTGAAGAAACAAAAAATTTTGAGGATCAGGAACTGAATTGTAGAGAGTTTGGGGATGGAAGATAAGTAAATGTGAGAAGAGACTGTTTAATCTGTGCCACCAGGCAGGGGTAGTGGATGTGGTGGCAGCTCTGAAAAGCTGAGATATCCTGGCCAATGTTCCTTTTTAGAAAGGTCACCTGGCAACAGAAGCATAGAGATATCCTACCTGAGATTTGTCCTCATGAGAACGAGAATGTTTTTATGGATAGTTCAGCTTTCAAACTGCTTTTACTATGAGGTGATATAAATGATATCCAAATTCTATCTTTTTATTTTTTAGAAGTAGAGTCTGAGGGCAGTGTGAGGTACTGAAAAATCTACCCTGCTATAATGCTCTTTCTCTATGCTTGTGTAATTCTTCTGTTAATGTCTTACAATTAATGTAGATGCCTTAATTGGAAGCATCACACCTTCATTTCAAAGCCTTCACAGCCTGTAGAGAAGATTGAGGGTCTGAGTGTGATGGAGTGCATTTGAACAGATAAAAAAACCCAAACCTAAACAGCCAGCTTTTGTTGTTTTCTTTTGAAACCCAAAATTTTAAAAAGAAAATAAATTGTCTTCTCCTTTTCTTCCTCTAACTATACTAGCTTTTATTTCCTGCTTCTGTTCTGCTTTAACATAGAGTTCAGTGAGCCTTGCATGAGTTTCAATCCTTGTTTTGTCCTTCTCACCATTAAAAGCCAGACAAGCAACTGGTAATTCCAAGCTTGTAAAAATATGTGGCTGTCTCTATCTTCTGAGCACACAGAATAATGCTTGACACTGGGAGCTGCTGAAGTCAGAGTGACTGGGGGGTTATCAGGAACAGGTATGGCACTGCATCAGACTGGATACAGTGAGGAGAAAGGACAAATGCTGTACTGAATTACTAACTTCTAATATTTTCCAGTCTTTTAAATATATCTTTAAATTTTCTATGCTTTTTTACTTGATAAGTGAAACAAAAAAAAACCCAAAAACAAACAACACAAAAAAAAAAAAGATGCTGAGCATACTGTTTATTTCCTCTTGCAAAAATCTTAAAGTTTAGTATGTGGCCATCAATTTTTTTCTAGTCAGGTTATACAATCTGTTAGTCATTTGTTTTCTGTGAACAAATATGTAAGCAAAACTGTTAAGGGCCAGGAGTAAGGGAACTGCCCTATAAAAGAGGATGCAGTCTTGGAGACATGTATCCAAAAATGATACAGGTATGGATCAGTTGTGATTCAAAGAGAAAGCAAGTTGTCAGAGAGAAGCAAATGCAGCTTGTCAGAATAAGAACATAAATCTTTAAAATTGTCATTGAAGAACACAACAATCTTAAGATAAAATATGAGGTGGTATTGTTGTAGCTGATCTTAGTCTGTGACTGAAGGAGGACTGGAGGTTTTATCAAACCAGCTGTTGCAGCTAAAGGAAAAAACTGAAGCATATCTCCAGGCACACAAAATCTTCTTTAAATTACATAATTGCTGCATGTATTAGTGCTCAGAGAATGTCGGTTTATCTGTCACTGAATACCTACCTTGGTTAGACTGCACATTCAGTGGCACTGTTGTCTAAGCTAGCTCAATTATGCGCTGTAGTTTTCCTTGCATAGTGACAGCAAAAGCAGGGGATTAACTGCTCTGAGAAACTGATCTGACTGAAAAATAAAGTTTTAATTTTGAATGTTTTTTTAGGCAGACAGGTCCCCTGGTTCAATGTGCAAATGTTTGTGCTGATGGAACTGAGTTGGAAATTGGATGCTGGAGACATAGGACAGTCTGAGGACACAGTTTTTATTAGGGATGTTTAATTTGACAGGCCAAGTTCATTCAAGTACCTCAGTGTAAATGCATTACATACCTGTCTGTTAAATGCTTCTGCAATTGTCTTAAATTAAGGATTTAGCATGGTTTTCTAGGAGGCGCTCCATATGATACATATAGAGGTCTAAGCTTCTGAGTTAGCTCCATGAGAGGACCTTATTGTATTAGAGGCATGGGATTTTTTAAATTTCTATAATATAATTCTTGCTTTGAATAAGAAACAGAGTGTCTGCCATCTGATGGTTGATGAAACATTTACTATTCTAATATTACTGGTAGTGGAATTTCGATGTCTCACTGCTAAAGAAACACTTTAGCAGTGGAGGTTGGTTCCCATCATTATTGTGCTTTTTATATAACTAAGGGAAAATAAATATTAATAAGTGGCTAGTGGGTATTTGAGTGAAGGAGAAAGTGTGCATGCACAGGGATTTAAAGATACTTTGAGCTTGTCACAATATTCCAGAATCTAAATGTACTGTATAGGAAGGGAGATTATTTAGGACCAATATTTTGGTGCAGAAATTAAGTTAATTGCATTTAATATAGTGGAGAAAAAACCCCAACTGAATGTTTGTAAGGGGGAGGTTGCTGCTAGAGGTAAACTTTGTGTGAGCAAGCACAACCCAAAAAAAAATAGAATGCGTCACCAGGAGAGAATAGGTTTCCATTGCCTAGAGCAGATGCCAGGAAAACACAAAGAACTGACTAAAGCCGTTTTGTGAGCTGTACCAAGCCTTGACACACTTTCTGTGGAGATGTAGTCTCAGAAAGATCCTCACCCTGACTGAAAACAACTGCAGGTGACAATGGCTTGTGTGCAATTGGAGCTGTTGGGTTTTCTGTGTCAACAATAGCAAAAAAAGAAATTATGGGAATAACAGACGAACAAGTTAAATTCCCTGCATGAATAACTTGATCTTTAGTGATTGCAGTGAAGGGTGACTCTTGCCATGCATAGTCATGCAGTAATTGATAATAAAGATGTACTATGAATTGGCAGGAGGTGTTTTCTTAGAGGGTTTGCTACCCAGACATTGCCGTGTGTGTTAGAGTATGAGAAACCTTACACCTTAATTGTGAGAGGTTCTGAAAAGTATTTTCTGTGTTGGCGCTAGAATGATTTGGAAGGAATAAGAAGCATATAAGTTGGAAAAAAAATTGGTTTTCAGAAAAGCTTCTGTGTGTAATGAGGTGTCATAATTTGCCCGAGAGCATGAATATTTTTAATTCTAAAGAGTAAGATTCATTAGTTAAAACTTTTGCTATATAAGGTACAACGTAATGTATTTAAGGCATGGTGAGTGAGAATTATGTGAAGTTACTGGAGAATTTGGTTTACAGTAACATGCATAGTTTGTAGATGAATTGTACATATTAATTAATTTATGCTGCTTTTCTGTATTTCCAGAGAGGAGTACACTTACTTGTTAACAAAGGTTACTGAGCTAGAGCATGGTAAATACTCGACTAGGATTTATGAAGCATGCTAGTTTGTGAGAATGTTTGTCAAGCTCAGACATGTAGTGATCCTCCATAGAGACAATGGAAAATCTCCTTTTACCAGAAGGCATGTTTTACATACTTAATAATATGATTCTGACCATGTCAGTATAAGAACCAGTGAGAAACACTAGGAATAGTAAGTTGTAAAGTACACCTAAGTGGGAATGAATGGCCTAAACCCCTCAGTCCCTGTTATTAACCTTGAGTTGCCTCTGTACTTTATGTCAGAATAAAATAACTTGAGTTATTGGTTACTATACTGTCTGGGCTGAATATCTGGGGGTAAAAGGTTTTGCTTTCTGCCTAATTTTTTGTCAATGCCTAAAAAGCAAAACAGTGAGAGAGCAGGAGTTGCCAGCAGTGATTTTGCATCCATAACCTCCATATCCAAAAGTTCATGTAGCTGTGCCTTATGAAAAATAAGTTGTTAAATAGTCAGCACATGCAAATCACCTATGCAAAGTCAGAATGAAGGACAAGTTTTTGGGAAGGAGATGGTGAGGGCTGGACCCAGAGATGACTGATGTAGTAGAGAAGAAGGTGCTCTTTTATGGGCTTTCATATAGCTGGAGTAGATGAAACAAACAAACCCAAAACATAAAAGAACAAAACCCAGCAGGTTTCTGTGCCTGTTGTTGAATCCATCCTGCTAACAGACCCATTAAGTTGTTTGCAGAAAAATGGGAGTAGCGATCCTATGCAGTACTTGAGCTTTATTTTATTGTTTGCATGCTGTTTGAGATTTGAGGGAAGAAGTCCTTCTGTGACTCAATGCTTATGTGTTTGTACATGAGGTTTTTCTGGTCACCATGTTCTTTGTCGATCTCCAGCCAAGGAGGGTGTGGCTGATTGAGCACTCCAGGCTGTTCCACAGTATACTCAGAAGGGTGGGATAAAACAGAAATGCAGACAGTGGGGCAACTCATACGGATGAGGGAATATTACATGTGCCTGTGTGCAGTTCCCTGTTGCCACTGTAAACTGGAGGGGCTTTGGAGCATTTAGGAAAGGGAGGAGAGAGAAGAACAAACTAAAGGTTGTGAATTAGGGAAAAAAGAAGTGATGAAAACAAACAGGAATTGGTAGGTAACATGCTATCAGAAACAAGAAGGGAAGCAAAGGGTGAAAATTCCTGAGGGATTCATACAAAAAG